CATTTGCTATGATATCAGATTCGAAGAAATGGCGCGATTATATAGAAACAAAGGTGAACGTTGTATTTTAATATTACAAATTGATTTATATACATATAAAACGACCAATAGACGAGCATAAGGATTTTATAAAATGCTATATAAATTATTTCTCTTTAATAAAAAGTATATTATATAAAATATATTATATATTTTTGATTAAAGAGAAATAATTTATTATACTTATCTCTTTATTGTTACGTTCAAATTTATGCAATTGTTATAATAGTCGTCATAAAACATTATTAAAAAAAAATAATTGTTATATCTTATTTTTCTCATGATTTGTAAATTGTTATTTTTACAAGGAAATAGGTCGATTTAAATTTTATTCTATTAGTAAAGTTAATATAACAGTTTTTATAATTTTCTTTTTTAATCTCATTAAAAAATTTACGTACAAATCTATACCCTTATGTATGTAAATTTATTTTGAATGTAATTGCATTTTCATTTTTAGCAACTTATCTGTATGTAAATGATCATTTATACATATATTACAAGTATGTGGCAGAATATTTAATTAAGATAATTTTACTACACTCAAATTATATGCCTCTAAATTTTATTCTATGATATCAGGTTGTCAGATGCTGGTGTACCCGGCGGCATTCAACGTAACCACTGGCCCGCTGCATTGGTCACTGCTACAGCGTGCCAGAGCAACCGACAATCAATTATACGTAGCCTGTGTGTCGCCGGCACGTGGCTCGCCGCCTGGATACGTTGCTTGGGGACATACTCAGTTAACCAATCCTTGGGGAGAAATACTTGGTGAGCTGGATGCTGTCGAGGATATGATAGTCTCCGATATAGGTAAATTTATTCTGCAAAGAATAACGTACGACTAAACGGCACAATTTGCAAGTTACAAATTAGAATATTTAATAAAAATTAAATATTTTCTATGTGGTAAAAAGAAGTACTTTTTAAATTGCAATCATTAATTATTGTGTTTGAACAGCTGCATATAATTCTTTTACTTCTTCAATACGTGCACAATTAATAGAAATATTATAATTTATTATACTTACAATTATAAGTGCGAAAAACATCAAAGTATACAACTATATATAAAATATAAATAATAAAAAATTTATGTATAAATCTATATATTTGTAACATTGGCATCTTATTAATAACATATAATTGTACCCTACATCGAAATAATACATTATTACAGATCTGAAAATTGTGGATGAAGTCAGAGAGCAAATCCCAGTCTTTAATCAGCGTCGTACAGATCTATATGACACTATTTGGAAGAAGGAAAATTAGGAAGACATGATGATGATAATAATGCTTATATGTTATTAAGCAATTTCTTGCATGTATCATTATAGGCAATCCTATATGATGATTAATTATTTATGGGTAAGGGCTTTAAATTTTATATTCCAAATACTTTATAGATAAGTATTTTATATCTACACGTGTTGTAAAGACATATGCGATACGATATTGTAAATATAATTGCCGGCAAAAATCTTATGAATAAACTTCATATTATTTGATATACAAATTTTTACTTTCGTCTTATTATTAAATCTATCGACATACTTTTTTGTTGCTCGAGGGAATCAAAGAAAGATTCGTTCAACTCAAGACCATATTCAAGTTTGTTTAGTATTTTGGATTAAATTTTATTGTAATCTCATAATATATGGATTCTAAATGATCACTCATACATAAAAGGCCTCTTGATCGTTACATGATATAACTATGTGAAAAGTACATATTATAGTAATATTAAAGCTATCCTCTAGCTTATTTACATATATAATATATGTATCATTTTTTTGTAAAAGAGTTAGGTCAGTTTTTTATAAATAAGTTTAAAAGAATTGGTCGATTAATAATTCCTTTTACTGGATTGGGACAGATATAACTAGAGAAAGAAGAGAGCAAAAGTATAATGGTGAGGCTTTTTATAGGAAAAGTGTCGTTCTATATTTCTCACCAGCCAAAGATGTCATTATCATCCCGTCAAGATGAGACGATAAAAGTGTTAAATAAATTCGATTCAAAATTTATTACTATACATGGCTCGGAGATACATAATATGCATTATCTAAACATGAAATCCTTTTTACTTTCTTTTTAAAATATTTAGAAAGACATACAAGTATATTTTAATTTAAATATTGAGCATATCCGCGAAGCATCGAAAAATTTGGCAAAACTTTTTAAAACTTTTTTTAAACGAACCAAAATTATACTAAAAACTAGATCACATCCGAGCCAAATATCGCGCATACTATGAACATGTCTATTGTAGGGATATGCAATACGCGTATCGATGGTAAAAGTACACGTATCGCACGTCCCTAGTTCATTGTATATAAGCTATAATAATTTAATTTTAAACATTCTTTTATTGCGCTCACTCAAATGGCTTCAATAGCACCGCTTGTCAAATTTGGCCTTGATTTTTGCGCAAAACTCAGACAATGCGCTTATATAAAATTCAAGTGCAAGTCGAGATTAGTTCGTCTTCGGTATTGAGAGCGGCTCAATTGAGATGTATAGTACTTCAAATTGACGCGATTGAAAGATTGCTTTCAACGTTTCAATGTGACATAAATGTTAGGTAATAAGTGAGCAGCTGTTAACAACGGAGACATATTACAAATGATTATTAAAGTAGTCGCGCGAAAATGTGAATTTCCGTGTAATGGATCGAAAGGTATATCTGCGAAATAAGAAGTATATACCATATGCGATCCAGTATAATTAAGTTCGCACCGGATCATTTGAATGCGCCTTTGAGTATAGATGATTATTCGCAAATACTCTCTGTGACAGTAGATCTTAATTTACACATAACATTATTATTTGTGTTACCTACAATCTCATGGTTTTTTTTACGACTTCTCACGCAGTCCAAAGTTATAGAACATTTTTAGCATTAACGATAATTAAATATAACGTACGTTTGTAGAATCTTAAGGATAAATATTATTTAAAAGAATAACAATTCTTCTATATAACAATTCTTTTTTCATAGTAAATAGAATTTCCACGTAATTAATCGATTATAAATATAACATTAATCAATATATTATTATTAGATAATTATTACTATCGCCATCCTCGTGATTATGGTTGTTTCTTCTCATCTTTCTTTGTCAATTTTTGAAGGGATCGGGTTGCTTTCGTCAAAGACATTCACAGTACTAAACCTCTGGGATTCGCAAAGTTATTGTAATCCAAGAACGAGGACAGTAATCAAACGCCGTAAAAGTATATCACAGGCAAGCATACGTGCGCAATTACTGGAATACGTGGTGTCGCAATACTGCATGGACTCGCAAATATTATAATATTTGTAATATACAGCGTTATGTTCCTTACAGCGAGAAATGACTTATAATAGCACCGTATTTTCATTTGCACATATTTTCTTTTGTCGTGAAAAGACCAAGAAAGCACATTCGTGTGTGTATGTTATATTATTATTATATAATTTGTATGGCCCCATGTTGCTCGGTTTTATGGCTGGTGTTGTGGCATTAGAATATTGTGTCACTTTTGTTAAAAGCAGTCAATTCTTTTCTCTAGATAGTTTCCGACAAGCGTTATAAAGTAATTCTGTAACTCTACGGAAAGGTTTCAAAGTCGCATTCGCACATTGTTTACTAATTTCAATTACTGATTCTCAGACTTCGGGATGTTAAACTGTTCGTATATTACAATTTATGCTTCAGCTAATTTATCGGCCAATAATTAATGGCGCGGTATTGCAAATCGACAGTAATTATAATTAAAGCTTATGTTATGTCGCATGAAAATCCAGGCGCTTATTATAATTATCATCGCTTTGAAATGTCGTGCGAATAATAGTTAATTGGTAATCGAGTGTTAGTTGGAATAAGAATAATCGAAATGTTTTGTACAATAATTCTTATATGGAAGCGAGTAAATAGTGAAATGTCTTTTCAAAAGAAACGGTTTACCGGTGTAAATAAGCAAAGCGAACAAACGGTAAAAACGATTGAATTGGATTGGAGATTGAAGTCGAGTCTCGAGATTCTCGAGTCTCTCTTTCAAGCAAAGAATTAGGATATTACTCGATGAATTTTCCAGTACTCGTACAGTTTTCGCGCACTAATCTCTTACGTTTGTTATCACATATTGTTTCGCGACATCGGACAAATAAAAATTTTGATTTGTTACGCATGCACGAGATCTCAATTTTTAGTTCTTCGTTTTCAGTTTCCTTTGGTCGCCCATCGTGCGCGAATATTATTAAAGGCGATCAGGATCAGATGTCTCGCCAATTTTTATATCATTCATTATTACGATTATGATATATCTTATATGTTACGATCATTCTCGAGAATTGGTAAGCCGAGAAAGTTGATTGAGAATTGAACAATGAATTAATTTTCTGACGATAATTTTGTATGCATTATTGCACATGTTCCATAAAAACAAAATAAAATACTGAATTTTACTTCGAAACGAGATCAAGTACATCTCTTATATGACAGTGGCTGACATCCGATTGTGAGTGTTCGGATTATTCCAAGAGCTACCCACGTAATTCCTTGATATTCGTATCATATCGAATTTGACAAAATGGAAAAATATATGAGGAAATGGGTTTCGAAAGAAAACAAAAAATCGAGAAATTGAAAAAGACTTATTCACACGTTTGTGTATATGAATTCCAAGCCCAACTTATACTCAAGTTCTTATAAATTAAGTGTTTATAAATTGCTCTTATCAAAATTATGAAAGAAATAAAAAACATTTTTTAAAATTTGGCATATGATGCATTAACAATAATTATTATATTGAAACTATCGATCGAAACGATTATAACAAATTTTGTTATTTATTATTCATAAACTAAATATTCTGTTTTCTCAATTTGTTACAATTATTTAAACAATGACTTGATCAATCTTCAATTTAACTAAATTGATTTGATTGACTGGAGGAAATACCAGTTCTCTGTTAACTAAGCTCGCGCTACATGGACGTCTTAATTGCTACATCAGGTAAAGAATATGCTGTTCGTCAAAATACTGCGTACTCGCAGTATGAGATAAACCTACTTCGCTTTTTTGTACGTAATTCTGTTGTCATCATCATATATCATCTTCGCCAATATCACTAACGGATACGAATTCTTCGCGAATTATATCCAAGGGTTTATGGCGACGATAATTGCAATGCGGATCTCATTTGATCATAATTAAGGCACCATCGATAACGCGATCAATATTAGGCTCATTAGGTACAGGACAGAACTCTGCTCTTGAATCTTGGACGATCCGGCAGCGTCGTACACGTCCGTGCCATTCCAATCGTCATTATCGTCGAGATCGTCGAGACACTCAAATTCACAGCAGCGTTCACCCACGCGGAATTTCTTTTTGCATTTCTGCGAAACAATGAAATCAGTACTTGAGAATAATTTTTACAATAATTTGAGACATCGTTAAAAACAACCAAATCTAAAAATATACTATAGTTCTTTTCTCACAGAAAATATCGTAAACATACAAATATATCATTGGAGGGTGGTCTCCTAATCTGGAGTATTACCAAATTTCTCCTATACTAATTTTTATTCTATTTTTAGTATATAAGAAACAATTTAAAAAATTTTTACTTTAGAAAATTATTATTTTGTAAAAGTCAAATTTGATGAGAAAAATTATAACACTGTGTCAAAGTATGTTACATTATTTTCTTTTTGTTGTGTCCATTATTAACTCTTCAACGGAACACATGGATCATTCGGTGCAGTCCATGTCATTTATTCTCATAACAGTTTTTATTTCTCATATACCTGCGTAATTTTTGTAACTTTTCCAAACTTTTTTGCTGACAGTGTCTACTAGCCGAATAATTTACTTAGTAGAGACCTTAAAGAACGTGTGAATTTTTCAAGAATTTTTCGAGCATTTTAAGAGCCTCAAAATCGGATTGGACACAAATGATATGTGCAGCTCTATAAGGTGCTGTTGTAAAATAAGTGTACCGTTGTAGAGTTAATATTGTTCAATATTATTAAGGTAAATATATTTATTTCGTTGTGGCGGTTGTTCAAAGTCTCCAGAGAACTCTTGAGAACTATAATATATATAGCCGATTGCGTTTATTAATGACCGCGGCATAGCGATCATCATTACGTGCGTGTAATACATGTATACGACATGGAACTTTGTGCTAATTTAGACGGCGGCGCATGTATGACATTGATTTTAATCGGCGACATGGGTATATAAAGAGTATAATTTAAAAAACGCAGTTAAAGCAATGAATGCTGTACGTGTAAATCGCAAGGTCGCCGCGATTCATTCGTATCACATGCGATTCATTCGCATTTCGCGAAACTATGTCAGTTATTTTTTTCATTCTTATTTTTCTTCTTCTTCGTCGTTTGCCTCATGTCCGAAGAGTCGTGATTTCGAAACTCTCTCTTATTATTATGCTAGTAAATTACCTTTTGGATGAAAAATTTTAATGAGCTATTGTCGCTTCTGGTAATTAAAAAAAAGCTACAAGGACCGCTATCGATCAAAAAATTAAAACAAAAAATTAAACAGTAAGTGATTACACGCAACTTACACAATAAAGTGTGCCATAATTTCCAAAATAATTCCTCGATCCCCCGCTAAAAAAAACGTAAGCATTCAAACCAGTAATGTGAAAAAATGTTTATAGGAATTAATTCGATCTGAGGATATGGGTTCGAATTACTCGTAGATATATAGTATGCGCAAAAAATGCGACTCTCTTTTAATCACTATTATGTTTGCTGAGTGTGACAGTAACGCAGTGATTGCAATTAAAGGAAATCATATCGAATAAATATTTGGTAGAAGAACAAAATATATTTGTGTTATATTTTGCCCCGTCTATTCACTTTATTTAATTAAATCGACAACTGAAGTATTAATTGTGAGAATCGCATTTTTTTGGTGCATACTGTACATATATATATATTCTTCGCATTCTCGAGTACTCACGTATGGTGGCGTACAATAAATGGCTTTACACCACATAGGCTCGGAATGATAGCAGACACAGAGACTGCAAACCGCAGGTCCTGGCACGTAGAGGAGGCCGTGTCTGACAATGCCACCCTGAAAATCCGTACAATTCTCCTCCAGGGCGTCTGAAATAATTTATTATATCGCAAATTGGCAGTTATGTAATTCAATTTTCATAACCATATGTCATACACATCGACACGTATATACAAACAAACTTGGAAATTCTATTTGAAAATGAGTGTAATATCGACAATATAGTTTAGAAGCGATATTAAATTTTTTTAACCATTTACGAAACTTTCAATATTTAAATCAGTGTTGGGATTTATTTACTTGCACATTTCGACCGATTTTCAGCTTGATTCCTGTCCCTTACTTCGATCAGCATTTAAACTGCGCGCAGGTTGATGAAGTAAGGGGCGGAAATCAAGCTGAAAATCAGCCGAAATGTGTAAGTAAATTCCAGCATTGATTTAAATAATATATCAATCTTTCTTTAAATGAGATTTAATACCAAGAGAAGTAAATATATAAATAGAAAACTAATGCAATAAGGTAGAATAACATATACATATTGTAGCTAACTAAAATAACAAGTAAAATATATAAGATAAAAAAACATCGCGCTTAAAATTGACTCTGAATAATAATGTGTAATCTCTTTAGTAAAATAATTCACAATTATATTTCGGATTTCTCTGAATAATGTAAAATAATTAATAATGAAAGAATCGTGCATATATTATTCTTATAAATTAAATTAAATTGTTATAATTGTTTTGTCGATACTACTTATATATATATATATATTTAAAAATACTAAAAATAAAATTGAAGATTATACTGGGTAGTACCTTGTAGACATTTTTATCCAGAGACATTTCCCTTCTTTCTCCCCCCCCCCTCTCTCTCTCAACATATAATATTCTGCATTCGAATCATTCAGTTTGAGGAGATAACCATTCAGAAAACAGGTGTACCCCTGGATTTTGGACTTCACCGGACTGTTACGAATTTCATCGGAATTCGACGGACTTCGACGAACTTCGCCGGGTTTCATTGGACTTTATTGAAATTCATTGGACTTCATCAGACCTCATCGGACTTGGAGAAATTCAACAAACTTCTGACAGGTTGTACACCGGGATTCAAGAGTGGTTACCTCCTCGATTCGTCACTATTTCTATGCCGATCATACTTTGGCGTGTTATGCATATAGCTACTATTCCCTATATATTTGTTACTAACAAATAATAAAAGCTACTTTAAGCATAGATTTTTTAATGACGATTGTATATCAATTTTATGCCATTTTTGTGTCGCTTACTTGTTCTCGGCAGAAATAAAAGGATGGACAGGCAGAACATCCACGTAAATGTCTTGCTGATAGAGGGCCTCTTCATGATCCGCGATATGTTTACTTGGAAAAAGTGGGATGTGCTTGTCGAAAGGTGGTCTATCGGAGTGGTCGCACAGAATACCTTCGGCTACTGCCTCCTTTCACGCACTGACAGCAACAGGAACATGTTGCCTACGCGCGAAAGAATCAGGGGATACATTTGTCATCGTATTAGATCAATCTCGCGTGGGCCTCATCTAATGAATCGTAACCGCGCGATAATTGATCATCTCGGCCTTAAAGTCCGATTATGACGGAATTCTTGACGCGCGCATATATATTGCGGAAATCTGGAATTCGCGAGAAACGCAGGACAGCTTGATGACTGCATTGAAATTATACGCATGCGGAATACTTATACATACTGCGTAAACGGGGTGAATCGTTACACAATGTAGAAAACATATGATTTGAATTTTTAAATTATAATAACTTTATTCGCGGTAATTCTCATGATATAATTTCCTATGTAAAGCACAAGCTATAATTTAGAATACTATATGGTCATCTTTTTAGATTATACGTGCAATGTAAGAGAATAAATTTAAGATTTTCCATTTGCTATTATCGATTGGAACTTTCTGGACACGTTTATTAAAATCAGAATTTCCAAAATTGGCGAGATTTCCTCGCCAAAAAGCTTCGCATTCAACTTTTTATCAGCAAGTTTTTTTGTCACCCTCGAAAATTACATGAGACTCAAGTTTATGATGTAATCGACAATTTCGACGCAATGAAAATCTCATCTGCCAAATATGCATTATAATAAGAGATAAGAGATGCGAACGACGCGATGCGCCAGTACCGTTCTTGAACTTGTTCGTTATGCCAAAGTAAAGTTTGAAGTTGATAAGTATAAACTTTGGTAAATACACTATTCAATGCTGTACATACGTGGGAAGAACCTTCCATTTTTTATGAATGATAGAAATATATGATTGATTGGTGTAAAGTCTATTTTCGTAATCTATAGAGAACTTATTGAAATTACAAGGGTGTTTTGTAGTTGGATAAGGTCGCACACGTGAAATGTGAGTATAAAGCCTTTGTGAATCGATTGTCGACATAACAATTCTTCAAAGCTGACGCGCGATCTGCAGGATCCGTATATGCAAAGACAAACTTTATCATGCTTAAATATTGTGTACAATTATATAGATTCAATCGATAGTAAATATCATCTGAATTTTCTTCTAATTACACTATTTTATACGCTTTTTTTTATTATATATCCATATAAATCAATAAAATAAATTAAAGTAAAATCACAAAAACGTTGAGAAAATATATATATATATAGTTTTTTAACTGCAAATAGGTTTTTTAACTGCATCAATCGGATTTATTTTAATTCGGGAATGTGAAAAAGAGAGAGATGTAAAAATCTATATAGCTTAATTTCTATTTTCTAAAATAGAACTCCTGTTTACGAATACTGCAAATACGAAAATGTAAATAAATATATATTGTATAAATTATTGTTCAGAAGTTATATTTACAGATTGCGACAATTTTTAAATTAAAATTTTATTATTTTGTTAATCCAATTAATGCTCTGAAAATGTTAAAAAGATATTACTTATTATATATTAAGAGAGATGTCAGTATATTTTATTTAATATGTTTCAAGAAATTCAATATTAATGCTAAATTATTTTACATGTAAGCACTGACTTTAGAATAATATAATAACAGATGTACAAACAACTAATAAGCAATAAAAAATATTTTTATTTTGATATACATATATATATACATATATATATGTAGGTACAGAAAAAACAATATTATATAAAGGATTTCCAATTAATTTTTCTGGTTTTCTAATATACAGTATCGTACAGAAGAAAAAAATTTGCAAAATTCAAATCGTAAGATATAAGTTTGTATCTACATAAAATTAAAACAATTAAAATCATATTATGCGTTTTGATATATATTTTGTTAAGTATATTTCTGAAAAATTTTAGAATTCGTGATTAGAATTTCAATATCGTTTCTTTTCCGCAAATAAGAAATACTAGAATATTAAATGATTTAGCTGTCTATATATCTTCCTTCCAATGTAATTGTGATATGATAGTTAATTAAATTTGCAAAGTTATCATAAAATTATTCAACGAAGCTATAGTTATATTAAAATTTATTGCTACTAAATGTAAACCTTTAAAGAGTATCCACAAATAGAATTTTGTCTCGGGACGTATATATGTATATGCGATAATTTATCTCAGATTTATATAGTGTAACATAAGTTTGTTAAAGTTTTAAATAATAAAATGCTTGTATTTATTTATTCTAAGTAACGTAATGCTCGGTTTAAAATTTGCTTATGAATTGGGACTGAATAATGATATTAGTAATATAGAAATGTGCAAACTTGTCTCTTTTTCTTCATCGATTCTTTTTAATGCATTAAACCATTAAGCGTTAATATTTATAACTATTAAGCGGTTCATTTACTAGATGTAGCTTTTAAAAATATTTTTTAGAAAAAAGAAGCAATGTGTAAATTGAATGAAATAAAAAAGCCTTATATTCTTGAATTGATAAAAAAAGAAAAATTTAAGAAAGCTAAAGATTAATAGAATCAATTCTAAGTAGAATCGTAAGACTCGTAATGTGTTCTCGTAAAACTTGTATATAAAAACTTATGACTAGAGTATTCTAATTTTATGCATATGTATCGTAAGACATACGATTATTCGTAAATATTTACGATTTCTTGTAAATTTTATGGCTAGTATAAGAAGCGCTGCCTGCAAAAATATTGTATAAAGATATAAGCACTTAAAAATTCTTACAGGAATATGTTACGAGCCTTACGATTCTGCTTAGAATTTAGGCATAAAGGAATATAAAATCCCAGGAACCGCGTGAAAATTTCAATGACACGCCGCTCATATCCGGTATAGAATTACGTTCATCGTTGAGCAGAACACAGATTCGAGATGACGTCAAGCTCTGGGTGAACTGCTCGTAATTAGTCCACAGCTGAGACAGCGGGACCAACTCACAAGTTCACCATGCAATGGGTGGCTATCAGTTATCCAAGCCGGCCGGAAGTAAATCCGCATAGTAATACATGCTACGGAAAAAGAGAGGGAAAAAAGGGTTGTGTATTACCTTCGTACTACATCGTTCCACCAATCGTCTGCTTTACATCGCTTCTCTAAAGTACGTTGCTGTTTCGTATGCACGTGCAGTGTTCTTCCCTTCTTTGATGAAGAGAAGGGTGTATTGCACAAATATATATATTTTTTGATTAAACCGATGCGATGTGTCAAATTCTTATCTATTCCAAGAAAGGCAAGAAATCAGTCGTTTAGGATGACAAGATAGAAAAAGTAAGAAAAAAGAGAAAAAGAAAAGAGATGCAATCGAACGTACCGACTGCGTGTTTGTAACGAAACCTCCAAGAGGCTCAACCCTCTCTACGCGATGCAGCGTGGTTGGTAGCGGCATTGACCGACTGACTGAACTCTGTCGCAGTACAAGCTCCTCTTATACGTGCTTATACGGGTCGATCGAATACGTTTCGCGCATCGCCCCTCTCTCTCTCTCTCTCTCTCTCTCTTTCTCGTTACGCTGCGACGAAGCCACTCCTATAGTAAGATAACCCCTTGTCGTTATCGTCATCACCATCGTCGCTGCTAATACCTACAAAAAAGCGCATTCGTTGCAATCGCTATCGTAAGAACACATTTCGTAATTTGGATTACAATAATAGATTGCAATAACAAATACAAGTGATTGAAATTAATTTGGAAATATAAGTTGACTATATAAGATCATATAAGTTTAGTTGGAGCGAATAAAAAATAATTAGGAAATTTTTCTTTTAAAATAAGATATTGTCCTGTTGCAATTATTAGTTACTTTGGTAAAGCTGATTTATACATATTTCAGATAATGACATCGCGAATTAAATGCCCAAAAAGCACAACAGCGCTTGGAAAGCGCTAAAAAAGCGATTATGCGCGTTAACGCTTTATAAGCGTTGTGTGCTACTTGGGTGGATAAAGAAAAGAAGCGCGCATATCAAATTTTAAAATTATAAATTTAAAATACTATAGAATCACACATGGATGAATGAAACTCGGCCTGCAATTTGCTACGAAGGATGCCCATGAATATTATTAGAGATTTACGCGATTGCAAGCTTGAAGGCGATCCAGAAGTACGTTTATACATACCTATATGTCTACGCAAGATATTCACTTAACTTGAAATCAATTAAACCAATTATATTGAATTATTCTAAAATTGAAAATGTGATAAGGCGTTTGTATAGCTCTAAACTATACTTTAGAATATTATTATTATTAAGAAATATAACTGTAATTATAGTTATTAATGTAAAATAAATGTGTAGATAATTTTGATAGAATTTTAATTTTTTACGGTCACGTAGATAAGGGATGTATCACACCAAAGTGTGATAAAAAAAATTAAAATGAATGTGATAAAGAATTCTAAAAATTCTATCAAAATTATCTACACATTTATTTTACATTAATATTTGGGTATATCACTTATCTACATGACCGTAAATGAAATTAGCTATTAATTTCCGTCATCGCAATTATATATTGTATCTATTCTCTCAGATTCGTTTCGCACTGTCATCTCTCCATCGTTATTCATTATTCTTTCTTGCGCATCGATGGGTGATCACAATCGTACTTGACTGCACTCTACTTAACGCTTGTGATTCAACGTGTCCGATACTTTCGTCTCTTTGATTAATTTACTTGATAATGATGTCTTTTTATATCATGACTTTGACGAAAACTATTGATTGTAAATTATCATTATATATTATATAACGAAATTAGGCAAGGTGTTGTGCATAATATGCGGCAATCAAAAATCGCCTCTAAATACTAGCGCGACTTTCATTTTTCTTAAGAGGTGTTCGCGTTGCTTGAAATCCCAACAAATTTTTGCATTTAAAATGAGTTAAATTAAATACGTATTCGGGCGTTGAAGAGAAAGAAAGCGAAGTATCTAATTCTGCCATGGTTAATTATGAAAATGCATGATCACATTATTGCCATGGCAACCGTAGGATGCTTTCATACCGTCTACCGTCTTGTACCGGCTCGTATTTCAAGCCTCAAAAGTGCACTGTCCAACTGAAAGAATATAAGCGATAAACGAAAGAATAATAACGTTGGTCTTGTGTTGGGAAAGGAATTCCAGTATCCTTCAATATCCTTCGACAATCTTTGACTTCCGAGCAAGGGTGATCATGAACGACTGCCTGTCGTTGAACGCGACAGCCGGACGAGTCGCTCACTTGGTGCACGAAAAGGTAAGGGTAGATTCACGTAATTTGAAATTGAGTGTTCTTTCTCGGAGTAATCTCAGCCATTTCTGGAATCTAGACAAGATCATATCGAGCGTATTAGTGCATTACGATTCAAAACTCCAAGATAATTTGATGGCGCCTTTCGGCAGTGGTATATTTATGCGAAAAACACGTGAGAGAAATTAAAAATAAAAATTTGTGTAATATTAATTAAATCAATCGATAAAAAGGACTATTCTTTTTGGCTGAATTTTTGCACCAGTTTCATCTTTCTTCCTTTTCTCTCCAGGAGGAAAAAAGAGAAAGAAAGATAAACTAGTGCAAAAGTTCAGCCAAAAAGAACAAGCCTAATATATATAGCATTCGATTTTATTATTCAGTCGATCATGATGACTATTGGCAATTATATGATTACGGATATGGTGCGCTGATTGAAAAAAATATCATGTTAACCTTAGATTTCGAAAGTACCGAAGCATTAATTAATTACTATAATCAGTTAATCACTATAATGATCGATGACATGTAAACGAATTACTCCATAAGTTCAGATCTAAAAATCAATGATGACATTCAAATTGTACATTATGATCAAAAGAGTAAATATATTGAATTATGAATTCAATGATAAATATGTTAATTGTAAATTAGGAGGAGAAACGTGTTCAAGAACGTCGGCGTCATCTCGTTTATCTTATTGCTGCTTTTTTACGAGAGCAAGGGTGAGCAAAGATTTATGTTTGCGTTTAATACTCGATTAACTCTTAAATGCTACACGTCAAATAAATCACGCAGATACCACACGGAGTTAATTGGACTCCAACGTGAAAAAGTGTACACTATTCCTAGAGTTTTCAATATTTTGCTTTGAAAATTTGTTTGAATACTCCTCAAAGCTTCTAAAAGAAAATGTAATTGCAGTTGATGATATTTTACTGTAAATATATTTAAAAAATTAATTAAAATTTAAAAAACGTTTCTCTTTTTAAACAAATAACCGTATTTTTTTAATTTTTAATATTTTTCGCTAAAAATTTAGAGTTGTACTTTTGAAATAGTATTTTTTTTTAGATAAAACTATGTACAAATACACTGGATAGTCTAAAAAAGGTTTATTTATTTTGTGAAATGGGAAAATTTTAGAGAAAGAAAAAAACACAATTAACAATTTATTTGATCTAATATATTTGATAAAAAAGTTATGAAAAAAGTATTTTTGGGCACATATAATTACAAAAGTATGTAAAAATATTACAAAAAGTACAAAAACATGCGTCCATGACTTTACCATCCTCATCATGCAGCAGCTCCTCTCGGACAATCCGACTCCGCAAATTATATTCATCTAATTATTCGTGAAAAAGTTATATTTACAACATTAATGTAAGAAAATTTTATAGCGCTCACAGTAATACTTACAATTCAAAATGATGAAATTTACACAAAAACGTGAATAAAAAAGTCGCTCCGATTTTCACTTTGCACAACGTAAATGATACACTGGGGTATTTTGTACCCCACTGTTATACAAAGACAGACTTGCCGCGAACTTTTCAACAAGTAGTTGGGGATTTAAACTAATCATAAATGGAGCCAGAAATTCGATTTCCAGCGGGATTATAAAATATATATGTAATTGAAAAAGCCTTGGGATCTTTTGGACTCCCAGTGGCATTTAAGAGTTAATCAATTTTATTATATTACATAACTCTTTAATTTAAAAAGTACTGCAAACTGTACGTAATAGCATAAATATAGTTATAAAACGAGAATTATGCACATTACATCGATGTGTTCCTCGTAGTTATTCCAGTACCGCGGAAAGTCTCTTCAAAGAAGCTCAACTCTCCCGAGACATTCACGTGTGCGACAATATTGATCTCGAAACTATCATTCTCGAGTATACCGATTACCATTACGCCAAGTACAATAAGTATCCTAAGTTGTGTAAGAAGATAGAAGTTGGTAATGTAGCTCCAAATGCGTAAGAAATATATTTTTATTAGTAATTCATTATCCGGAATCGTAAAACCCAACAAATGACACAATCGTTTTGACAATTTATTAAAAAATTATTAAAGAATATATATATATGCGATATAATGATCGGATGTATCTATATTTATATAATTCAAAGATATGCTCTTTAGAAATAATATTATTAAGTAATAAACCCTTAGGCGCTTAGGAAAAAATGTTTCAATATACTGATTAACTATTCAGTAACTGATGAAATATCATGAGTTACTGAATAGTTAATTAGTATATTGAAACACTTTTTCTTAAGGGACATTTTGCAATATAATCTAATACAAAATTTTATCAACGAATTATTAATAACTTAATAATAATTACAACGGGATTCTCGAATTTTAAACAATATAAAAATAAATAAAAGTAGGCTAGTGAGAGTCAGCACAGGTAACCGGCACAATTTCTTATAGTGAATAATTAATACTCAGAAGTTGGAATGATGTCTTCTTTATTTGATTCGAACGTTTCACCTCTCTTTGGAGTCCTCCTTAGCAAAGTAATTACAATAGAATGAATAGCTCACAAGTTCGTAATAAATAAGTTACTCATAAATTGGCAAAGATGAAGTGTTATTGATTTGACAAATTAAAAAAAAATTATCATTAAAGAGGTGTATGAATAGCGAAAATTGAGTGACTCACCACTAAGGAACAAGAGTAATTAACACAAGAGTAATGAACACAAAGTGTAATTATTTTACTGAGGAAGACTCCACTACCCCTACAGCACAAAGTTGCACAAAAGTTGCAGTAACACTCCTGCAACATTGCATGTTACAGCAATATTGCAGAGATTTTGCAGTGATATTGCTGCAAATTCTGTGCTGTATGGATAGCCTACTTTTATTTATTTTTACATTAATTAATAACTTTTAATTGGCTTTTCTTATATTTTCTAATTTGTGAGAGACGTCAATTTCTGCGATAAACTCGATAAATTCGATAAAATCGAAGCCACTTTATCTTTTATAATAGCAACAAAAGAGCAGAAAGAGTTTCGAAGATCTATTCAAAGCAAGAGGAAAGTCGCGTTACCGAAGAATGTAACAATATTGGCAAAAATAAAGTCGCACAAAAACATACCACTTCCACATGGAATGAATTGAATCTTGGTATCACG